GTGTGTGTGTGTGTGTGTGTGTGTGTGTGTGTGTATCTGTGTGTGTATGTGTGTGTCTCACTCCTTTTATGTTGATATATATCACTCCAAAATGAAGCTATATCCACATCGCATTAACCCCGGATATAGTATGAGGGTTTGCGTACAAGCATGGCATCTCTATAATCGAAAAGTAAGAAGTATGACATAAGAAATAACAATTCTTAAAAAACCTATATTAGTCACTGTAATAATGATAATAATAATTGCAGTAATGATCACATTGAAAACATTATGAAAATAAGGGTAATATTAACAACGATGACAGTAATGATAACGACAGTAATAATGATAAAGATAATAATGATAATGATAGTAATAATAATAAAAAACATTAACTATTATGAAAAATAATGATAATAACAATAATAATAATGACAATTATTGGTAACAGCAACGACAATGATAAAATTTTAATAATAATTATAATTGTAGTAACAACAGTAGTGATAATAATAACAACAATAACGTAAATATTCATATGGGTGATAATAGTAATAATGATGATGATAATAACATAAAAAAATCATTATGATAATAATGAAAACAATAATAGTAATGAAAATGAAAACAGTATTTATGATAAGGATTTTTAAAATATCTATTAACAGTATCATCATTTCCATTATTTCCATTATTATTATTATTATTATCATTATTATTATTATAATTATTATTATTGTTGTCATTATTACTATCATCATTATCATTATCATTATCACTATCTTCATTAAGATTATTGTTATTATCATTATTGTTATCATTATTACTAATGTTATTATTATTATTATTATTATAAATTATTATTATTATTATTATTATTATTATTATTATTATTATTATTATTGTTATTATTATTGTCCTTATTATTATTATTATTATTATTATTATTATTATTATTATTATTATTATTATTATTATTATTATTATTATTGTTATTATTGTTATTATTGTTATTATTATTATTATTATTGTTATTATTATTATTCTTCTTATTATTATTATCATTATTATTATTATTATTATTATTATTATTATTATTATTATTATTATTATTATCATTATTATTATTATTATTATTATCATTATTATTCTTTTCTTATTATTATTATCAAAATTGTTATCATTATTATTATGATTACTATCAACATCTTTAATATCATTATTATCATCTCATCTTCTTGTTCTAATAATTATTATCATTATTATTATTATCATTATTAATAATAATAATAATAATGATAATAATAATAATAATGATAATAATAATAATAATAATAATAATAATAATAATAATAATAATATTATCATCATTATTATTATTATCATTATTATTATTATTACTATTATTGTTATTATTATCATCATTGCTATTGTTATTGTTATAATCATACTCATTATTGTTATCATTGTTGTCATTATCATTAGCATTATCATTCTAATTATTGATGTTATTATTATTATTGTCATTATTATTATCTTTATCATCATTTTTATTATCAGTATGCAAATGTTAATAATTATAATAATAATAATGATAATAACAATAATAATAATAACGATAATAATAATAATAGTAATAATAATAATAATAATAAGAAGAAGAAGAGGAAACAGAAGAAAAAGATGATAATGATATTGTTAATATAGCAATATTCACAATAATGATAGAAGAGTTAATAATACAATAACAATCATATAAGTACTAATGAGAAACAACAACAGAAATATTGAGAGTAATTACAAAATTGAAGATAATATTGATTATCATAATGATAATAATTGTTGTAATAATAATAATTATTAGTATCAACATTACTATTACTATTATCATTATTATTAAGATAATTTTCCTTAATACTTTTATCATCATTGATACTATTATTATGATTAATGTCGTTATTATTATTATTATTATTATCATTATTATTATTATTATTATTATTATTATTATTATTATTATTATTATTATTATCATTATTATTATTGTTATTATTATTATTATTATTATTATTATTATTATTATTATTATTATTATTATCATTATTATTATATTATTATCATCATCATCATTATTAATTCTACTATTACCATTACCATTAATATTATTAAGAAACAATATCAACGATAAGGATAAAAATAGTACTGAAAATATCCTTGATAATACCATTAAAACTAATACTATTGCCTGCGTTAATAATGATAATAATCATAATATTGATAATATTAAAAATAATCATATTTATAAGAACATTAGGACAGTTACAATATTAATGATAAAGAAAAAGAAGAAAATTGCTAATAATTATAATAACATAATAAAAAAAATGATAATAGGAATAATAATGACGATAATGAAATTCATAATGATAATAATAATGAAAATACTAATAGTTACAATAACAACAAGAACAATAATAACAATGATAATAAAATAAAATGATAATGATAATGATAATGA